TGTGGACGTGTCATAAGCTGGGGCATTGCTTTGGCCAGAGTACCGAAATGGAGATTTCGGAGAGTGTCAGTCTCCCAGCGTCCGCCACTCTGGAAGAGCTTCAAACAAATCTTCTCGCTACGACGGCTGAGGCACGAATTATTAAGACCAGAGTATGAGGATGCTGTCTACGATACCATTGGATCATCCGAGGACGAGGCAGGCCCATTGTTCAAGAAGCCTACTCGAGTTCGAACCTTTGGACCAAGCTCCCCGAACCCAGCGGAACCCGATAGTGCTCCTTCTTCACCCACGGCTGCAGATTCTTTCGGAAATTGGTCTTTTGCACGGAGACATACCTTACCACACCTTGATCATGGGAATCGACGTAACGCGACGCATACTCCTTCAGGGCGCAAAAAGCGCGCAACTTCCATGTCCGTTCGGCCCTTCTTCAAGCTTACTCAAGAGCAAGCGACTATGAGGAAATGGCTTTATGCTGGATACGTCTACTTGAGTATCGTAGCTATTATTCTTGTTGGCATTCGAACCTATGTACAATGGTATGCCCTGGATGGTAACGAGCCTATTGGTTGGGCTTTGGGATATCTCTTTGGCGACTGGTCTTGGTTTCGATATCAAGTTGTCAGTCTGAATTTGGAAAGATGGATTTGCCTGCCCCCACGAATTGACCCCACGGAAGACAAGCAATGCCACTCTGGTTGGGTACAGCACATTCGCCATAACGACTTTGGAGAAGCAAACACTCGACTTCTTTTGAGTGCTTACTGGATGGGCATCTTGATTCTCGGGCTCGTCATCGTCTTCCGTCTGAAGGACATCTATGAGGTAGATACACGGCGGAAGGTGTTTCACTTTATGATGGTTGGCATGTTTCTGCCCGCAACCTTTGTCGATCCCACGTATGCAGCTCTTGCCCTGTCTTTAATTCTTGCGGTCTTCTTGATCCTGGATCTTCTGCGGGCAAGCCAGCTACCTCCACTATCAAAACCTATTGCCTCATTCCTAGCACCATATGTCGACGGCAGAGACTTCCGTGGTCCAGTTGTCATCTCGCATATCTTTCTTCTGATTGGGTGCGCAATTCCTCTCTGGCTGGGCCTTGCTTCTCTACCACGCTCTGGATCTGGCTACCTGTCTGGCTGGGAAGTCACAACTCGAGATGTCAGCCTTGTCTCTGGAGTTATCTGCGTGGGTTTAGGAGATGCAGCTGCTTCTCTTATCGGCCGTCGATATGGACGCCGGAAGTGGCTCTGGGGTGGCGGTAAGAGCCTTGAGGGCAGCGTCGCCTTCGCTGTGGCAGTCATGCTGGGACTTGGTGCCGCTAGTATGTGGCTGAGAATCGGCGGTTGGCTTGCTGCAGGTGAACAGCCTGGAGTGATTGCTGGCACGCGAAATGCTGCGATGTGCGCATCCATGGCGAGCTTGACGGAGGCTGTTCTTACTGGCGGGAACGACAACGTTATCGTACCAGTGGTGTTGTGGACCTGTGTGAAAAGCCTCGGTGTTTGATATAAAAGTGCATCAAAAGGTGGCGTTCCGGAGGTTTATTTAAGACTGATGCTTGATATAGAGAGCAAGACATGGCAAACGGCTGCATAGACGACGTGATGTTCATGACAGACTTCAAGATAGTCTCAGTATAGGGTAATTATTTCCCTAGATGTTTTAATTATACCCCTTTTCAAATTACAATAACGTAACTCAACTCCCTCATGATATCTTATGCTCTCCCGACACCAGCGCCCATGCACCTTTGTTATGCTTGCGATTCTATATGTTGCACTTGTTTTATATTATGACATGAGATCCTCCAGGATTGCTTCTAGCTCGTCTTTTCTAAACGGCAAGCTCAGCAACTCTGTTCCCAGCGCGTCCTTCATACTCGTGATTATTTGATGGTCGTGGAATCTAGTCTTCGTTAGTCGTGATTGTGTAACCGAACATGACAATGAACGTACTCTTTCAGCAGTGTCCGGAAAGCCATCTCGGAACTGCAGATGAACTCTTCCACGGCCTTGTTGTACACCATTCGATACTCAACACCAATTGGCTCATCTCCGCTGTCGCCCTCATCCTCAATAGCAATGAGCACCTCGCCCACCAAGAGGCGGAACAGATTCTTGGCGTTCTCGGGCAAACTTCGTAAAACAAAGGCAACGCCTTCTCTGCCATTGACTCGGTGAGCATTCCTCCCGAGAAGCTCGTGTACCTCGTCCACAACATCTAGCTCGGCACCATATGGGGCAAAGGTCGTACAGTCGTGGAACACCATGTTAAACGCAGATCGCACTCCTATGTCCCACAGTAATGCAAAGTCTGGTGTATCAGCTGAGCATACCAGCCTTATTTGAGGATGCGCCGCGAGTTGCGCCAGAGCAGACTGCGAGCCGGATTTACGAAGAGGGGCTGCATCAATTGAGTTGACAATAAGAGTCAATGTTGACGGCGTTGTGGCGAGGTGTGAGAGAATGGCAGGGACCATGACAGCAGGCTGCGTTAGAGGAATGCGGTGACTTGGATCAACAGCAGCACCAATTGTGCTCAATACCTCGCGCATAGTGGTGTTGTGAGCGTAACCATTGATTATAACAATCTTGTCCCCCTTCTCCTTCCTAATGGAAGAGTACAAGTGACCGGCAAGCTTGTGCAGGAGACGTCGCTTCGAGCCATAACCATATAAACACAAACTGAACCCTTGCGATAACTCGAACGCCCATTGCGGGAATGATTCGGCATGTAGACTTTCCAGAAATTCAATATCGGCCTCATGGCGATCCTGAGTTTCTCGCATAATAGTAAAGTATTCGTCGTGTGTAAGTAGAGCGAGTGATCCTAGAGTATTATTCGAAGTCTTGGCCCGCCCAGGTTTGTTGTGCGCAAAATATAATTCGTGAGGAGGTAAGTCGCGAGGAGGAGTCGGAGACCGAGCTGGTGCTTTCCGCTGAGCTTTTCGGCGAGGTGTCGATTTCGAAGGTGTCGCAACTTCATCTACACCTGATGCTTCTGTGGAAATGGCAACGTCGCCCTCGAGCGCTTCTTCGTCTTCACTAGATTCGTAGATTTGCTGCGCAAGGCCATCGTATTCCTCCTCATCCGTAAGGTCGTCGCCAACAACATGTTCTATGAGAGCTCTCGTACTCTTTCGCTTGGCGGATCTATCCGCTCCGCCAGGTGTTGCTCCATTCAGAGTAAGGGGCGTTTTCTTGTTTGGCGTTTCAAAAAGAGCAGTACGGGTTGCTTTCGGTGTAGGAGTTTCGCCATTCGCAGCCTTCTTTGGTGGTCTCCCTCGTCGTTTTGGTGCAGGTTTAGGGGTTTCATCTGGGTCGACTCTTGATAATGATTCGGATGAGCTTGCGTCACTATCTCCTACCACATCTCGGTGTATGGCTTCTGTATGACCATTCGTTCCGTTGGTGACTTTAGGTGAATGATGAGCTGCACTTCGTTGTCGCTTTACTGGTGATGTTTCAAGGTCGCTTTCGGGAATGGATTCGAGATCTTGGTGCCCTCGTTTTCGTAAGGATCTTGGAGGATCTTGTTGAGTATCAGGCTCAGGTACTGCCTTTTTTGGAGGCATTGCGTGATCGCTGAAGCTGGCGGGATCACCCGAGTTTCCCAAAAGCCAACTTTTTATAATTGTTGATGTAGTTTCTGGAATGGGTAAAATGAATACAGAGCCCAGGCGCGTGGTAACTACTAGTAACGCGCCTGCTAAATTGGTAGTGGCGCCTGTGGCGTCAATGCATGTGGCGCGAGCTTCACTTTCAACGGCAATTCATTATTCATTCATTCACATGTTCCCTCAAGTTACACGGATTTTATAGACAACGGAACGATGCTGAATCTAAATCTATCGGCCTCATTAAATATCACAAGGCTTATCTTTAAGCCGAGTCTGTGTCTGCCTCATCACACAGTCTCAACTTTCAATGACTTGCCAATTCCTCTTGAAAAAGGCTTGCAAAAAGATGGTCGAAAAGTAGAGATCAAGGCTGTTGTTCTCGACAAAGACGATTGCTTTGCTTATCCTGATAGCATTGAAGTTTATGATTCTTACAAGGTGCCTATGATTTGTACCCCGCCTGGTACTCAAGATTGTCTGCTAAACTGAAGCATAGTCTCACTTTGAAAAGTTGAGGTTGGCTTATCCTGGTCGCAAGTTACTTGTGGTGTCAAATACTGCTGGAGCAACGTCATGGGATAAAGATTTGAAGTTAGCTGCAGAGGTTGAAGAGAACACAGGAATCACTGTGCTCTCGCACTCGGTCAAGAAGCCAGGTTGTGGCCAGGAGATCATGGAATATTTCAAAAAGCACCCAGAGACAGGAGTGACGGATCCTGCACACGTTGCGTTCGTCGGTGATAGACTGACGACCGATATGATGCTTGCAAATATGACCGGAGGGTGGGGGTTTTGGGTGAGAGACGGAGTAATACCTCTGGAAAAGAAGAGCATCGTGAGTCGCTGTCTGCCCCTCAACAGACGATAAATCGTCATAACCCAACAACTGGCAACAACTGACAACACTAGTTCTCGAGATTGGAACGACCTTTGGCTTCTTTCCTCTTTGCTAGGGGTATTCGTGCCCCTGAACCCCGCAGCATCTTTGAGGAGTAGCTATGTCGGAAGGTGTCGAAGGCAAAAGTCAGAGTCAAACGGCTCGTCTGAACTTCTACGTTAACATTGAATCACAATGCGACCTACAGCATTGTCCTTCATTCAGTACGGGCACCTGACCTTTGATAAGCATTTGCATGGCTTGAGCAGACAATGCAAACGGGACTGAATCACTCATCTATTGTCCTGAGAGTCTATAAAGCTGCGTTCGTGATCTTCATTCTTTACTCTTATCCTCTTTCCGCACTACCATTCGATAAAGGCATCGTCGCTTGCCTTATATATTCTGCCTCTTGTTCTTCGTTATCGTCACCTTTTTATATACTTGTTTCTTCACTCTCTTCTCTTCTTTGGTCCACCCTAACATTGGGCCTCAACCATGGGTGGAAAGACTTGGTCTGTAGACGAAGAACGAATGCTCTGGGAAGTTGTCGTTCCTCGCTCAGTAGCTGCTGCCAACCCAGCTGATCGACGCATGAGCTGGGAGCAATGCGCTCAATATATGAACGACAATGCTGGTGACATCGCTCAACGGAACTATACTAAGAACATGTTATGTGAGTTGCCCACGCAGTTCCAACAACTTCTAACATCTCTGCTGACTCTGATAAGACGAGCATCACTACCAGAACATCGTCAAGGGCGGTTCTTCGCCGAATGCTGGTCCATTTGTTGAACGGCACCTACGCTTGATCGGTTAGTCTTGTATGATCTCCCCCTCGATTCCAAGGTTTTGACAGATAACAGAATGGTACAAGAACCACAGATCGCCTCCACCAGCTAGCCCCCCTCCAGTTCCACGAACCCTTCAGAACCCTGAACTTACTGCGCTTTTGAGCCAGCAGTCGAAGCCCAAGAGAAGACGGGGCAAGAATGTAGCCAAGACCCGACTCGCGGAGAATCAAAATGCACTGCCCACTATCGATGAGTATGGACCTAGACCTGGAGCTGGAGCTGGACCGAGTGGCTCAGGCACATCCAACGTCTCATATCTTCGTTCATTCGCTCCGTACGAAGGGGCTCAACAGCAGCCTTGTGAAGAAAACCAGTCACCCCCAGTCGATCCGAGGGCCAAGTATGCACTCGATTTTCGCCCGCTGCCTAGAACAATTCGTGCTGCTAGACCTGGAGGCAACTTCTTGAGCCGGCCCATGGAGAAAGTGGAAGGCGGGCTCTGGCGCCTCGTACCTGAAACTTGGGAGGACGAGAACCTTGGAGAATCGATGTCCACAGTCCCGCGAAACAGCGATGTTCAGGCTCGATATTCCAGGGCACAGGAGGAAAGCTCATGGACTCGGCCATATACTGTGCCCCCGCAGCAGGCCCCTCAGGGACCTCAGGGAGGGGGCCTACCTTCTATCCGTCAAGCATTTCCTTTCATCAACTTTAGACAGCCTCCGAACTCCGCAACCTTTCATGAGACATCACATCAGACTGCCAAGCGCGGCTACAGTGGCGGTCAGGACCAGAATCAGGCCCCTAAGCGACGAAGACTTCCTGATCACCCTCTCCCCCGTCAAAGCAATTCGCAGCAACCGAATCAGAGAAAATAAATCATGGGTGATTATGGACGAAGGATTGGCCCACAGTGCGGCATGACGACCTGGAAGTTGGACGAAGACGCGTGAGAGACTGAGAGTGGGATGGAATTTGTAGTCAAAGGGGATGCATGGAGAGACCTTTTTTTTGAGCTTTGAAGATTTGTGGCTAGGAGGATGATTGCTGAGACTTGACCAGAGGAAATGTATTATTAGAGCAACAACTTGAGGGCAGCAGTTTGTTATGACAGCCTTGTTGATATTTAAAGCAAACAACAGTTATGAAATTCCCGGACTTCATTGTCACAAAAGTTAATGATCTCAATTTTGTTTGATCCTTTGCTCGTTCTTCTCACTTTTGAATCGGGCCCGCCGAAGTCGGCATGGTGGGGCCGGATCTCCGACAACGCCCCCGGAAAAGCGGTGAGACATGGCAGAAATAATCCTCCCGAAAGATTTCCCCAGAGAATCTCAAGTCGATCCGGCCGTAGCTAAACCCGCCCTCCCACTTTAACGATCACGTTCCTCATCTCATCTCATCACAACCATGAACTTCCCGGGAATGACACCTCCAGCCGGTGCTGCCGCACCGCCTGCGATCGGCGGACCTCAAGATCCCAACGTCAAAGCTGTATGTGAATGCGCAACTTGCTCGGAATTTCGCGGGCGCATAGCTAACTTTGAGAAATATAGGTTCAATCTGCGATGGAGTCTTGTTTCGGAAAGTCAGTCATGTCGGGAGTTATGGGATTCGGTATGGGTGGTTTATTTGGAATGTTCATGGCCTCTGTACGTTCTTTGGCGGATTTCGAGCCATTATCCCAAGCTAATATCCTGCAAGATGTCCTACGATACGCCTTACCACACAGCCGCCCCCGGTAGCCCACAAGGCACAATCACATCGCTTCCTCTCAAGCAACAACTTAAGATCGGATTCAAAGATATGGGAACACGATCATGGTCTATGGCCAAGAACTTCGGAAAAGTTGGTGCTTTGTACTCTGGCGTAGAGTGCGGCATCGAAGGCTTGCGAGCGAAGAACGATCTTACGAACAGTGTCGCTGCAGGATGTTTGACGGGCGGTATCTTGGCCAAGAATGCTGGCCCTCAAGCTGCTGCAGGTGGTTGTTTGGCTTTCGCAGCATTCAGTGCGGCTATCGATGCATACATGCGATCACCACCCAAGGACGACTAAATGCTGGCAGCTGATATAAACAAGATTGGGGTTCGAATGAGCGGGCTAAGAGATGTATATATACGCTTGGCTTTTCTGCAGACGTGGGAGTTTACGGTAGTCATATTTCTAGATCATAGGGCGGCGTTGGGATACGGACTCTCCTCTTTTGGGATGTTTGCCATTGAATGTACGAAGACTGTACAAGGATAGATATGGAGATGGCGATATGGCACTTGTATTAACAGGTATTTTAAGACCCGAGCTTCATAGAGGAGCTGCTCATGTAGAACCCACGAGTCTACACTGTAATCTTAGCAAACGAATTTATGTCTGCAATGACTGCCTATCCCATAATTGCAACTTGAAGATCCCCTTGTTCTTAACGCCGCGCTTTCAAAAGAGCAAATAGCACACGATCTGCTTTGGACAAACTCAGGCTTAACTTGCCTGGTATACTTGGAAAGTCCCAAACTCCCAATACGCATTCTCAAAGGCTTCAGGGTTGTTGGCGACGAGATCAGTGCATTTACCCGAACCTGAAAATAGTCAGCATTATGTCCTTACAAGGTACAGGGCTAACTTACATCCAGAGTCGTCCCAAACGTGATAAACAAGACTGCCACACAGGTCGATATTGGCAATGATGCTCTGGTTCTTGAAATGCGTGCCAATGTCGCAATGCGTGTTGGGAAAGTCGGCAACAGCAGTACCCCAAGTGTCGGGTTTTGGGTTGTTTCCTTTGATATCTGACGGTATAGAGTCTCTACCGAACTGCCACATGCGGATGCCTTCATGCCGCCATTCAACCGCCATCACGCCTCCTCCATTCTTGTTGAAGATGGTGCCGTATCCCGCAGGCTTTGACAGAACGCCACAGCCCGCGTTATCGTCCTTTTCGTGGTTGCAGTTTTTCTGTAGCGTCTTTCCTGTTTCCTCGCGGCGTACGTCCATTGAGCAGTCACCGGTAGTGTGCAAGGTCATTTGATTCCCGTCTTCAGCTTTGTTTGTCGACTCCATCACATCAATTTCTCCATGGTTTGGCCAGTTGTAGCGGTCAGTAAGCCAAAGGGCCGGCCACGTGCCACAGCCGTAGGGAGTATGCTTGACGTCGAAGATGAAGAGACCGTTCTCGTATGTCTTTTTGGATTCGATTCGGACAGAAAAGCGACCAGTCGATGCATTCGGCTTGTCGTTGGGGCCGACAGAAGTGTCGACTTTGAGAGTGGCAGTGGTGGGTGAAGCATGTGTCAGATTCTGAAGAGTATTAGGTGAACATGATCCTAAGCAGTAACTTATTTGGTTGCCAGTAGGGGTTCCTTACAAGAGACTCTGCTTGCGCCTTTGGAACGTAATGAACGAAACCCTCAGCTAAAAAGAAGCGTTAGTCTTGCAACACTTGAGATCTGGAGGTAGTTCCTACTGGGGTCGTATCCTGTGAAATAGTTGAACTGATCAAAGAAGGATTCACCTCCATCTGGGCAGTGGTTAGCGGATCTTCGTATCCAAGTTGAGGATGACAGGCACTTACATGTATCTTTCAAGGTGTACGATAATGGTACGTAGTCAGGGTACATATTCTTTCTAGCTCTCTGCACAACGACGGCGACAATTATTATCACTATGACAAGGATGACTATGATGATAGCGGCCCAGATTCTCTTTCGCCAGTATCGAGGATTCCACCAGGGCATTGTTGAGCTCGCATGACGGACTTCCTGGCCTTTGCGAGCCAGCAATACCTCGTCGTAAATTGGAGGTATCTCTCCAGGCTTGACACCAGATGAATACATCGACATGGTGATGTAGTTGAGGTGGAAGAACAGGGGCAACGGGTGATTGAAGAGTTGGAGCTGAAGTTGCTTGCACCAAGTGATGAATGACAAGAGAAGAAGTAAAGTAAAGTAGAGAGAAGAGAGGTAGTGATAGATAGAATGGAATGCAATGCAATGCAGAAGAGATGTGTGTTGATGGAGATGGGTTGTCTCAGCCTCGAGTGCACCCTCTCAGAAGCATATGAATCAAGTTTCTTTTTTTATTCACAGGAAGGAGGAAATGAGGAATGAGTTCCTGTTGAAACATTTGAAGGAGCAAAGCAGCTCTTGCCCTTCCTTCAATACTGTGCAGCTGCAGACAGGTAGTCGGACGCACATCCAAGGCAGCCCGTGAGCGATTCACAGTCCCTTTCTATAAGACTCCCACCAAAGTTTATTGGGCATTTGACGTAGGTATCATGAGCAGCAAATCAATATAAAAAGGGTACTTAACGGCACTCGCGCCGCCCATGGGGCATCCTCCCCACATGCCGTCTTTCCGATCTGCCTACTCCCTAGCGCATGCATCTTTTTGGTGTGGGCTGAAGTTCGATGCTGATGATGGTATCCGCGTAGCCGTGCAGCCGTGTTAGCCAGGAGAGTGGGAGTAGGAGGGTTCAGGGGTAAACACGAGAGACCACAAACAAAAAACCACTGATAAGTCAGAGTCTCAACACCGTTTCCGAACTCACTACAAAAATAGTTCGTGTTGATTGCATTATTTACTTGTCTCAAGGGATAGCTTAAACTCGGAAAATGGCTGCCAGGAGATAGCGAGACGCGTAATCTGCAGACCAATAACTGACAGAAGCGTGTAAACTCAACACTACGTACCATGAATGAATCGATGACCGGAAATACGGCCTGGCAACGCGTCATTTTACTGATCTCTTTATTTATAATCTCCACCGAAAAGGACGAGCTCGAATTATTCAGGTTCGAGAGCTCAGTGGACATTGTCTTATTTTTGGTGCCGACGCTAACAGAAATTGAGGACAACTTACACAGGCATGAGACGTACGAGACATGCCGTGAAGCCGAGAGCCGCTTACAGCAGAGAATGATGTTGTCGCGTGCAAGGGACTCGGCTACCATTGTAACATAACTAAGGTAGGTACTTATAGATAGCTCCTCTTGCTCCTACCTAGTTACAAGAAACATCAAGGGAGCGTTTTAAATGCTACCAAGTATCACGCCTCGCTCATCGTCGATGTAATGTAACATATGAAGATCTCTGATTCCAAATCCCACTCAGCCAGCAGATCCTCGACTGTAGGTAATGTCGATAAATTTCGTACAAAAGACATCCAATGCCTTCCAACATTCATGGCTTAACTTAGACAGTCAATGTCTTTGAAATAGCCACAACAGCACAAAGCCATGCCCCAAGATCAGTCGTCAACATCCTCAAATTATTAACAGCCAACCATCTCTCCAGCATCCCAACATTATCCGTCCCCTCCACAGCGCAATTGTCCTCCCACAGCGCCCTGAGCTTCCACGCTACAGCAGGCACATATGCAAGATGCCCCAGCGCCAGTGCAGCAGACCAGCCGTACCAGAATAGTGAGCCGCGAGACCGGAGCAAAGCGCGGTCAGACCAGATATTGAAGATCGATGTGCCGAATGTCAGGCCAATAAAAGTGAGGACCGCCCACGGGCCTGAACCGTAGAAATTGTTGATGTAGCCTGGCAGGATCTCATTGGCCTTGTTGCGCTCAATGGGAGACTTGGTAAAGAGGGTGAGGAAGAAACTTTGGTCGCGGGCGAACCAGAGTGTGATGCTTGAAGAGACGAGGGGAGCTGTTAAGAAGAGGACCCTGGGGTTGAAAAACGCTCCAGAGGCCATTTTGATGCCACTGAATTGATTGAAGGGTAGGTATGAGACTGAGATCGACTGAGCTGTGAGTCTTGATACTCGGCGGGAGAATTCTTCTTGACTTCAAGGTCAGTTTTATATAAATTAGTCTCGAGATCAAAAGCCTCCGAAAAACATTGACTTTATGTGACCCTGGGATGTTACTGTT